AACAATTTCAGCCCTAGAACATAGAGACATCCTGCACACCATCTTACTTGCAAATTGTGAGATTTATTAGAACAAATAAATCCTAATAAATAAATCCTTGTCCTAATAAATCTCACAATTTGCAATTAAGACGATGTGCGGGATTTTTCTCCATGTTCTTCGGCTGCTCCCTCTGATCCAACGCACCCATCTCAAGTAAATTATTCTGCGAAGTTCTCATTCTTTTATAACAATTTCAGCCCTGGAATTACCAATCTCTACCAAATAAAAGCTAAAGCGTAGCTGTTAACTGAAAAACTACCACTAAATGACATCACAAGGTGGAACAGAGCAGAGAAGATTACTCAAACATGTGTGAATGAAACAAAACACAACTCCAGGTATGATTTTGATAACAGGATTCTAACACAACTTGAAGCTCAGAAGAGTCAATTTTGTGTAATATATCTTAGATCTTTAAATATCCATAGTATCACATACAGGTACTTATTGAGAATGAGCCTTATCAAATACTGAAGTACAGGGCAAGTAGTAGTCTCTAACAGCGTAGCATAAGAAAGGAAAAGTGGCAATCAGAAAAGAACAGTGAACGCAGTCTTTGTAATATTACTGGCTGTTGTCTTGTTTCTATCTCATTGCCACTCACAGACCTTGTAAAATGGATCCTCAAAATGCTCTATTATGTGGAAGTATGAAATGCCTATTGCTTCTTGTTGCTATAGCGCAGTACAGTCCTGGTTGAAGTGCCCGTCATGTCTTTCTCGAGGCCTCCTGCTCTTGACCCCGACATAGCTCCTCTCTGCGACTGCGTCAGACGATGCTCCACATACTCATGATGGATTAAACCTGGTTAGTCCTCCTACTGCTCCAGTAAGGACCACGCCGAGACAATGTGCAAAGAAATGTGTCTGACCCAAAAAGACAGGACTGTTTTTAGTTGGGAAAAGTGAAAAAAAAAGAAAAAGAAGAGTGAAAGTCTAGTTCAAATTTTAAAATATTTGTGAGTAATGGGTCAAGGACATGAGAGTTAAATTTGATGTGGTACTTGTAGTGGGAGATTCTGTCCCACTTTGAGATAAAATTGCTAAAAATAGTAAACTCGCTGCAAGAATTGTAAAGTTGAACTACTAGTTAATGGGGTTTGTGTATATATTATCTAGCCCATACAAATGCAAGATGGGAGTAATGCTTTAGTATAGGAATAGGTTTGGTTTTTTCCCCTATTTCTTTTCCTCTTTCTACTTTTTTGTACTTTTCACTTAATACATTACACAAATTGACTTTTGTAAGCTTTAAGTCATGTTGTTACCTCATCAGAAACATACCTGGAGTTGTTTTGTTTCATTCACACATTTTTGAGTAACCCTTAATTATTCTGTCTACTCCAAAGCTCAAAATGCTCTGTTCCACCTTGTGATGTCATGAACTGGTAGTTTTGAAGTTAACAGCTGCCTTACGCCTTTTGTTTAGTAGAGATTGGCAATACCAGATGTGAAATTATCCGAATGATTCTAGTGAAGGTGTATGAAGTTGAACACAACGGAGCACTTCTTGTATTATCACATGACATCACAAGCTGGAACAGAGCTTTTTCTGTTTAAGAGAAGAATAAAACAAAACGCAGCTCTGGGTATGTTTTTGATGAGGAAACAACATTATAACAGATCACAAAATAATGTAATATAAGTCCTTTTAATAAGCATTTGTTTGTTTTGTTCATTTGTAATTTTCTTCATTTATTCCGTCTATCAATGAATTTCAGAATGATTAGAAAGTAGGACTGTTGCCATAGCGATTTTTAGCCAGGCTGGCACCACCTAGTGCCTCCGCTCAATTTAATTTCTCTCCAGGAATCGGAATACACTAGATGGTTTGCAAGAACCCCCTGAAGCTGTAGACGCGCACCGGGCAATCAGTGAAGAGCTGTGAAGCCATGACGTCAAACTCAAGTGTCTGTCTGGTCCCTTTTGTGGTACAGCACAACAGTAAATAAAGCGGTCGAGATGGATGTAGACGAAGACAGACATTCTGGGTTGGCAACGATTCCCGAGATCGAGGATTTAAAGCCGGAACAAAGAGAATGTTTGGTGAATTTTATCAAGGGGAAAGACGTTATTGCCCTTCTTCCTACGGGATTTGGCGCATTACATACGTCACGACCAAATAGCACTGATCGGTTAAATAAATAAAGTACACGCCTACCATCGAGTGAACGAATCCTAATGCTGCGAGGTCAGACGGTTTCCATGGGTGAATCAGGCTAATAGCAATTAACAATTCCAAACAATATATTATAACTTCTGAATGGTGAAATAATCCTGAAAATGTTGAAAATACCAGGACGCCGACACCTAAACCTGAGCACCTATAGAAAACTGTAACAAAATTCCAACATGGCCGCCTGTCACCTGCTTCTTGCTCCACGTGTTAGAGACATGTGCATCTGCGGCACTCTAAAACACTTATTTGTGCAGATGTAAACAAACAGCCGGCGCTCTTGTGTCGAAACAAGCGGAGAATGCACAGGTTTTCACACACACCCTCAGGGCCCAGATCTTTGTAGCACCTCCCCAGACTCCTCTCCGACTGCGCTGTATCCTGCCTGTGAAAAGGTAAGCCTGGGAGAGACAGAGGAGCGCAGAATAAATGCCTAAAATGGGTCAAAGCCTGAATATGATTAGAGCCCCCTCCTCCTGTGTAGATTCACTATGAGGGACAAGCAGCAGTGAGGGTGTATGTGGCGTACTGGCAGTTATTTTTGTGGTAGACTCGAGGGAGTATAGGCCGGACTCTGGGGAGTAGTATCCAGTGCAATGGGAACTGAATGGACTAGACTAACTGAGAGTTGCACCAATATTTGAGCAAAAATATTTTAAAAATGTACCGAACTCTTGAATTCTACTTGGACTCAACAGACCTTTACTTACAACAGTGTAACATTTTGGCTACTCTGACTTGACTTTATTGCCAAGTTGCTGAGTGTGTTAGTGGTTAGTGCTCACGACTCACCATAAGGTCCTGGGTTTGATTCCTGGAGCAGATGGCGCCGATGCGAGTGGAATTTGCATCTAGATTATCTGCTTTGGAACAGAAAATAATTAGCTGATATATATACATGACATATTATATTTAAATAAGGTCTCCATTGCATTTGTTTGAGTGCTGATGACATGCACTTACTACTTGAGTATTGTTTGTTTGTGCAGTATTTAGATTTGTGTTAAGAGGTAACCAGTGCAGCAGTGACTACATAGAGCCTGGACCGCAGTGTGTACTTATAGTTCTACATGAACAGGAAGTGTGCTTTGGCCCACTTTCAGGTCCAGAGAGGACTCAGAGTCTGGACTGTACTCTGCCCTCAGGTCCCATTACTCTGGTTACTCCTCACATTAACATCACACAGAGGTGGGGCTTTTAGGGGCAAAACTTTTAATCTCACTCATTGTACTGGGGGTTTCTCATTAGTCATGGCGTGGTGAGTTTGGACTTGTACTTGTGCTTGGCTACTTTGCATAACTAAGTCTATTAACCTTAAAGGTGCACTATGCAACCTTTATAACTTTTCTGGTGAGGGGTCCTGCTTATCTCCTTGAGAGTTATTTCTATGCCTGGATTGTTCCAGAATTCTGCATTTATTCACTCACATGTGTCCCATTGCTTATACAGTAGTAGTAGTTTGCATAGACATAATGAGATGTTATGTGGTTTGCTGAAAACTAGTAATGAAAATCTACATATTTTCTTGCTGGACTGCTGAAGAGCGTTAGCCAAGCTGGCGCCACCTAGTGCCTCCATGGAATCGGAATACACTAGACGGTTTGCAAGAACCCTGGAAGTTGTAGACCACACACCGGCCAATCAGTGAAGAGCTGTGAAGCCATGAGAGGGTCCCTTTTGTGGTACAGCACAACAGTAAACAAAGCGGTCGACATGGATGTAGAAGCCATACATTCTGTGTTGGTAACGATTTCCAAGATTAAGGATTTAAAGCTGGAACAAAGAGAATGTTTGGTGAATTTTATCAAGGGAAAAGACGTTATTGCACTTCTTCCTACGGGATTTGGGTAAAGCTTAATATACCAGTTAGCCCCGTTAGCGGCGCATTACATACGTCATGACCAAATAACAGCGACTGGTTAAATAAAAAAGTACCCGCTTACTGTTGAGCAAACGAATCCTAATTCTGCGAGGTCAGACGGTTTTCACAAAGTGAAACTGGCTGATGATTCAGGCTAGAAGAAACTCAGTTGTGAGTAGAAAAGCTTTGCCATATCAAAAAGTTTGTCATGTTGAGCTACAGTTGACAGCGTAATCTCTCAACTATATTGCTCCAAAAGTATCGTACCAAATAAGGATTGCCCCATGCCTTGAATCTGTTTTGAGTGATCAGCTCCGCTGACACATCCAGGCTGCACAGGGGGAGCTCACTCTCTGCTCTGCCCAGGACCGGCATCTCTCAGTCAGCCAGCGCCCCTCCACAAGTGCTCCTCATGTTTAGTTTAAGGATGGAGCTGTGCGAGATCCAACCATGTCCCACTTTCCTCTGAATCTCCAATGCATCTGGATTGGGAGATATGAAGCCATCAGTATGCGGCACAGTGATGTTGTCCGTATCCGTGGCGATGGAAGGGAGAGACATGAATTTTGCAAGAGGCCACTGTTTACAGGCTGCTCTTGCGCACATATGGATGAGAGCTGATAAACACAAAGCACTGGTATTACACAGGTGTCGTAGCCACTTGATATCCAGCTCGAGCCAGGTTGTATTGTTGTGAAATTGGGCGCAGTGGGATTTCGAAACAGGGATCCAATTTGCGGCCATAGATCAGTATTTGTAGAGCTTTTTCATTTTGCTGGTGTGTGCATGTTGCTGACACAAACTAAAACAGCACCAGTAAAGCCCTCTCTATCTGTGCTTTGAAAATGTTATGTGTTGTGTTGGATTTAGCCAGCTTCAGATGTCTAATATTTTTATTTTTGTACTTTTCTGTTTCTTGCAGTCTGTCCCAAAGCCCATTGCGCTGGAGCCCTGCTTTGGAAACAAGGCGGCGGTGCTCTCCATATTTGTGCGGTTACCCAGAGGCACCGGCGGCATCCCTCCTCCAGGACAGTCGGGTAAGGAAGTGATGAGAACAAAGCGAAAAGAAGAGAAGAAGAGACTTTTTGGGCACAATAGACTTAAATATGTAATACAGCTTATTGGGGTCTCATAGTGCGGAGTTTTACTGACAGACCCCATATTACACTATTTCTGAGCTGTTATAATGTTGTATCCTCATCACAAACATACATGGAGTTGTTTTGTTTCACGCACACATGATTAACACACAAATTCTACATTATTTAGGCTGAGTTCTTCTCTCAAACTGAAAACACTGTTCCACTTTATGATGGTAATACATGAAGTTCTCACTGTGTTTTTAAACTCACTTAAATTGTTTGGATAATTTCAGCCCTGGACTTGCTAATGTCTGCTGAATTAAAGGTAAAAGGTAGCTGTTAACTTGAAAACTACCACGTAATGACATCACAAGGTGGAACAGAGCATTTTGAGACTAATAAGGCAGAGCTCTGAGGTACTTTTTAGGTGTGCACAAAAAGGCATCTAAACTTGCTCTGTACGGAGATATGAGCTGGGAACCATGTGAAGTGACACACATTTGTGATATGGTGCGGTTATGGAATAGGTTGGTTAATATGCCAGACACAAGATTAACCAAACAAGTATTTAATTGGAGTCTGTTACATAAATCTTCCTGGAGTAGAGAGATTGAGAACATTTTAAAGATTGCAGATCTCCAGTTTCTTTACAGAAAGAAGTTAATCTGTAATGTCAGACAAACGAGGAACATTTACTTTGATAAACATAAACAAAAGTGGCACAATGAAATTTTCTGTAAACCTAAATTAAGAACATATATCTTAATTAAAAACTGTTTTGGACCTGAGCCATATGTCACTCTGAACCTGAGTAGAGGTCAGAGGTCAGTATGTGCCCGGTTGAGGTGTGGGACTCTGGCTTTGGAGACGGGACGATTCCACTCAGTCCCACAGGAGGAGCGCACTTGTGCTCTGTGGGACTTAAAGGACATTGAAAATGAAATGCATTTTCTGTTTTACTGTCCTTTGTATCATGACCTGCACTGTCAGTTGTTGTCTAATGTGTCATACTGTTGGTTTGTTATGTCTGATGAGGAGAGACTAAAGTATCTGTTTAAATATAATGTTTTTAAGTTGGCCCAGTTTGTGTTGAAAGCCTGGGACCTCCGTAAATGGACCCTTTATGTTTGATGTGTGATCTGTGATCTGTCTGCTTATTGTTTTATGTGTCTTATAAGTACATGTGGGCTGGGCACCAATTAAATGGTACATGACACTAAATAAGTAAACTAAACTAAACTAAACTAATAAAGGGTAACTCAAACATGTGTGAATGAAATAAAACACAACTCTGGTTATGTTGTTCATGAGGTAACAACATTATTGCATGGTCAAGTCAATAGACGTTATTCATAAATCACAAAATAAAGGTGGATTTGACCATTATTGGACATTAATGAGGATATTCTATTGTTGACTGAGTGATCGTGTCTCTGAACTACTAGTATTACTCAAGTTTTATACAAATCATTGAACCAGCAATATTGGAACAAAATAGTCAATAAAATAATTACAAAAACATGAGAAATGATAGAGAACATGTCTTAACATTTCAACATGTGTCAGAACTGTATATTGCAGACCTACATGCAGATCGTGACAAGACGACCCCCAAAAAAATCTCTTGTCTTTGGGAAACAATGGTCTAGAAGGTTTCTCACCAGTCTTTACTCCAATTTAACGCAACTTTTTACAGGTTTAAAAAAAAAAAATCTAAAAAATACTAGTTACAGTGTTTGCAAGGAAGAATTATTTCTATAAAAAACAAAAATTCTAAAACTACTTTTCAAATATCTCCTATGCGTTGTACAGTTTTGCACAGTTGTGGTTGATGATTGATACTAACAGATATAAGTTATTGCACACATTTATGTAAAAGCATATTATGTGTAAGTTAGATTTCTCATATACATATATTAATGTAAAACAAATGCATAAGCCCTTTCCTATTGTCACATTGAGTCAGAAACCACACTGTACATGCTTGATGCTTTGTTCAACCGTCTTTATCTCTTGTTGCTATTCCTTGGATCTCGTTGCACTTTTCCTCATTGAAGATTTTTGTCATTTTTTCCTCCGTCTGCTTTTCTACCTTTTTATTTCCCCTCACAGACAGCTCTACCATTGAGTATTCAAACCATAACTCGTCTCATGCGCGGCTCTGTCACTTGCTGTTTGAAATTCCCATTCATCTCTCATCTTCTCCCCCTTATGTTTTTCTCCAAAGCAGTCATGACCGAGCAGCTCTTGTCTCAAAGTTTCAGATTCCTCTTTTAGAATCCACATCGAGCCTGTGTCTGGTGTTTCATATGCTCTTAGCCCCCCACGGTGACAGTCCCACACCAGGGGGACACTGTGGGCCTTTTAATTACCACACAGATCTCTGGATAAAAACGAATCTTATTCACTCATCTGGTTTCATGACATCTCTTTTTAGGATGTGAGAGGGCCGTAGTGTGGTGTTTATGAGTTCTAGGCACTTTTATTCACTATTAGAAGCCAGTAAAATTTATCCACAGGAGCAGTTGTATGTTTTTTTTTTTTTTCCTCAACCAAAAATGAGAAAAAAAATCCCCCAACCTACATCTCTCTCCAGACTCTTCACATACAAAACTACCAAAAAAAATAAAAATAAAAATACTGTATGTAACACTGCATGTATATTCTTTATTATGTACATTTTTTGGAGGGAAGTCTGGCATCTGCTCGACTCCAAGGAGATGTTATTGCTTTTTCTGAATGTTCCATGGCAAACATTAAAAGTATCTGTCTCGCATTTATTCAATTATGTCATTTATGTAATCCTGTAACTTGTTCTTTTGATATCTCCTGTGCCATTTAGTACCATTTAATGACATACTGTGGAACATTCTAGGTCAAACAATATTATCTCCATGGAGTGCAGCAAGTGGTGGACCCTCCAACAGCAAAGTTACATAGTGCACCTTTAAGATAAATTGCTTTATCTTACCGACATTGTCTCGATTACTATCTTTGATACCATGCTTGTATTTAGACGGGATTTAAGAAAGGGCCCACGGTGTTATGGGTAATGCAGCCTCCACTTAGGAGGAACTCAGTCAATTGACCCAAGGTTAAACGCTTGATCTCCTCGTTCATATGCAGTGCTAACTACTCTGCCACCATTACAGAAATAAATTTACCACTACAGCTGAAAAGACAAAGGAAATTAAGTGATCACTCACAAGATTTGGTTAAAGGTCGTACTGTATATTATGCAAACTTTAGATATGTTAGAACCTTGGTGCCTCCTCAAAAACATGCCAGGAGTTGTGTTTTGTTTCATTCACACAGGTTCGAGTCATCCTTTATTATCAGTCTGTCTATATCCCTAAAGCTCAAAATGCTCTGTTCCACCTTGTGATGTCATGAAGCAGTAGTTTTTTCCTTTTGTTCAGTAGAGATAAGAATTCCAGGGCTGAAATTATCCAAATGATTCTAGTGACAATGTATAGAGTTTAAAAGCACAGTGGAGCACTTCCTGTACTACATGACATCAAGTTGGCGTGTCTTCTGTTTGCGAGTAGAACTCAGTCTAAATATGCAGGACTTGTGTGTTAAACGTGTGTGAATGAAACAAAACACAACTCCAATTATACCACAGATCAGATCCAAAAATAGCACAGGCCCTTTCAATAACTGCTCCAATTCCATGTATTTCGTATAAAATGTTATGATTCGTAGATTTACACAGGCAGCACACTGTGGGCACGTAAACTGAGCCTGTATCTAAACACAGAGTTGAAGAGGCTCACTGCAGCTGCCATATTAAAGCCTGTTTGAGACATAAAGCAGTCATTTCCCCTCAGGTTCCTATTTGCCGTGGGCCGTGTTCTCCTGATTGGGCTAAATGCATCCATCATTGGCAATAAATGCAGTTTATTGGAATTTCACGCCTCACAGAGTATTAATAAATGTTAATGAAGTGTGGAGGGACTTAATGATTGGCTCCTGTGTGTGCGTGTGATCCCTGCTCCTGCTGCTGTTGAGCTGCTGATGTAAAGCTTCCACCTTTTTAAATGTCGAGTTTTTAGGTTTAATTTTAGCTCTAAGGATTCACCTGCTATACAAAGATAGGGTTTATTATAACAGTTAATGTATGCTCACTCAGTTATGTCAAATCCAATCCAACCACTTAAATGCAAAACTACTGAAAGTTCAACTATGATTCATTGTTGACTATAGTGACTATATAATTACACATAACATGACTTGATTTCATTTCATTGATTTATTTTTTTTTTATTGTGTGGGAAGATACAGATGCTGATTATATTATTATATTATACATGCAGTTTCATAAAATTTGTGATCTGTAGAATATTGCGGGTGGTAGGAAAGAAATGATACCGATATTGCTATCAAATATCGGAGCTGATACTGAAGAAATTGCTAAATCGAGTATCTGTTCCATGATATCAGTTCAGCAGATATCCTGGTTGGGCCTTTCATTGGATTTAATAAGACCATTTACAGGCTGATTCTGGCCTAGAATGCCTCATAACATTGAACTTATATTCATACTAAGCTGTTCAGTACTGATTTGAAGTATACCAGTTACATTACCCAGGTTAGTGCCTCTGCTCAATTTCATTTCTCTCCAGCAACTAGGTCAGGAATTGGAATACACTAAATGGTTTGCAAGAACCCCGGAAGTTGTAGAGCGCGCACCGGCCAATCAACAGAAAGCTGAACCAACCTGAATTGCTATAGCAGACTGCATACACTGTATTTGTCAAAGGAAGTCCAAAGGAAGACAAACTTCATATTTTTTATTGCACCTTTAATTCACAAGTTCACCTCGCAGAAACCACAATTCACACTCTGCTTTATTTGCTGTTGTGCCGGCAATTACTTGGACACCACTGAGCATTGCGGCGCATTACATACATCATGACCAAATAGCAGTTGGTTATTAGTTAGCAATTGGTTAAATAAAAAAGTATCTGCCTACCGTCGGGCAAAAGAATCCTAATGCTGTGAGGTCAGACGGTTTCCACAAAGTGAAACTGGCTGATGAATCTTATAACACAACTGGATCCCTTGTGTAATATGCTAAATTTGTTTAAGGAAATAAGAGACATTTTCCGGCAGGTACTTGAAGTCAGAGTATCAATATTGGTATAGGAACTGCAAAAACTGAATTGCTGCATCCCTTGTGGGTGGTAACAAAAATCAAAATTGAGTTATGAATGATAAACAAGAAAGTGTGCTCTAATTAAACTAAAGTGAAAGTTCAGACCAAAACAAGTCAAACATGAGACGTGGCTGTTAATCTACTCCATAAAACATATTTGAAGTGATGATGTGACAGGGGTAATTAGAGGAGAGCCTGCAGGTAAATGTGTTGAACTGAAGCTCGTCAATAATGAAATACTTTTAATTAATAGACAGGCACACACACAGTTACTCTGTCCATAGCTAAAGGGGGCTAAGACGCATTTTACCTTGTACTTAAGTGGACTCTGGCTTGAGAAAAGTCTTGCTATGGGTTTGGATGGTTTTCAGTCTTACATATGGATTTTGTAATACACTTATTGAGAGAAATGTTACTTTAGACACATTGCAAAACAGGAGTAGCTCGTATTGTTGCCATGGGTGCCTATTTTACTTTTTTGTAAGTTCTTGAAACCCCTAAATGTCTCCCTTGCCGTAACTACAAACATATTACCTCTTTAGGGCAGGCCAGTGTTTCTGTGCATTCTCTCTGACAAATGAACAACCAAACTAAGATGTTACAGTATTTTTCTACTGATGAGAAGGTTGGTAGTTTGATCCCTGCTCCCACCTTTGCATTCTGCCAACGTGTCCTTGGGCAAGACTTTCAATCCACCTTATACTATCTTTGGGTGTATGAATGCGTGAAATGATTCCAATCGGAGTAGGGAAAAGCAACTTATTGTATATAATTGACCATATACCACCTTATTTTTAACAAGAAAACACCTGATGTAAGAAAAAAAAAAAGTATTTAATAAAAATATATCACAAACTTATCTATTTGATTGTGTTGTTTTTGTGCAGGCCTGGCGGTGGCGAGCGCGCTGGTGGACGTCTCTCAGCAGATGTGCGTGGGCTACAAGGAGAAGTCCGGAGGTCTGAGGAACCGCAAGCAGCAGCCCACCGCCCAGCCCGCCACCTGCATCTGACCACGCCCCGTCACCACGGAAACACCCCCGAATCAACCAATCACCACGCCCCGTACGCCCCCCTACCGCAACACCTCAGCCCCGCGGTGCAGTGCATGCTGGGACACTGGAGTGGAACTTTCCTCGGGACTGGAGTACAGATCGGGGCGGAGGTGTGTCTGAGGGAAACGTGTGCTCTCTTTAAACTGGACACTAGGGGGCGGCGTGAGCAGAAGGGAGGCGCACATCCTCCTTAAAAAAACACTGACATTTTACGTTTGTCGACGCCGCCCGGTGGAGCGCCGGCGTTCACGGCTTGCTGCTAGAAAAAGATCCTCATTTCATAGTTTTTAAAAAGGACTTTACGATTTTGTTTTACTTAAATTATTGTTTTTTATTGTTTTATTTTTGAAGGCAGGTATAACTGATTTTGTCAAGCTGCACACACAGTTCAATAGACTAAATTAGTAAGTAAATGTCTCACTTACTTTCTCCATTGACGCTTCCATATACTAATAAACACACAAAAATCATATTTGACATAAACTGTAAACAATATGACTAATACAATTTTCCTCATTTTTTCATATTGTCAAAAATAAGAATCTTGGATGCGTAAACTTTTCAGACATTGGATCAAAAACTGGACTTAACTTTGGACTAAACCAGGACTAAAGCTGGACTAGACTGGGACAAAACCATGATCAACACTGGACTATATTGGGACTAAAATGTTTTGCACTTGAATCTCGACCCATCCTTTTGAATACTAAAAGATGATTCGTCAATGGAGAAAACTATTATCACACGTACTTTATAAACCACAGTTGTTCCTTCTCTGAGCTTCCCGTGGCTAACTCAGTCCCATTTTTCACCTTTTTTCGGCCGTGAGCTGTAAGGGCTGATGTCACTGCAGTCCTATACAGTCTGGCCTGGGAGAGGGCTAACAAGCTAACAGGCTAATAGTCTTCCTATAATGAGGTCCACTGTACGAGGCTGTAGCCCATCTGAACACAGTGACATTTCTAACAGACCTTTCTGTACTTATCCCTCGCTCTCTCTTCCGCCTCCTCCTCCACCACCTCCTCTTTTCTCCTGCTTGACTTCCGCTGCTTCATTTTGGGCCAAACTACAGTCTCTCGCTCCTCGTACGGTCTGCGCTGGAGCCGTGCCCGCTCTTGAATCGTCTCCAGGCAATTAGCGCTACACCAGGGACAAAGGAGGCACAGTGCGTTTACAAGATGTGGGAGAAACAGCTGGATCTGGTGACTGAAACGGAACTAAAACAAATTACAATATTCGGTAACACTTTATAATAAATACATTTCAATTAGCTCCTTTATAGGTTATTTACTAAGCCTGAATCATTCTTAATCCATAATGAAGAACAGTTTATTAAGTTTGGTTCAAGCTTTCATTAAGGCTAATTATGGAATATAGTTTAGGGATGCACCGATCTGATACTGTGTGCCGAGTAGGGCTGGGTATCATTAAAAAGTTGCAGATACGATACATACCTCAATACATAGGCCACAATACGACATGTCTCGATACAGTGAGCTTTCGATTCTATTTAATATATTTCAAATCAATTCGATACAAAAATTCAATAAAAAAAGGCTAAATTGTGGCTGTGATACTAAAAGTCTTTGTTAAACCACTTTTAGTGCAAAGTTAATAAGAAACACACATTTTACTCATCAAAACTGCAGCGCTGTAACAAAATAATTTTGTAAAATATACAAAAAAATACTCATGGTGATATATCGATACAGCAGCCCATGATATCCATACTGTATCGTCATATTAAATGATACGAGATATTGATATTTCAGTATTTTTGCACACCCCTCGTGCCAGTACTGAAAAATTTGCTGAATGGGGTATCGGCTTCCAAATATCGATTCAGCCGATATCCTGGTTGGGCATATACATTGATAAAATAAGACTATTTCCTATTTTCCATTTTTATTTGGCACAGGAAGTCTCATAATGTTTGAACTTTTATATATGCAAAGTTTGTCTGTAGTGATGAGGTAAATAACAGATACAATCACACATTTGGATCAGTTTAGTCTTATTTTAATTTTGTTTGCGCCGGTAACAATATCAGGCATTGGCAGATACTGAAACGATAGAATCAATCTGAATCAGAACTGAATCGGTGCATCCCTACAGTAATAGTTATTATAAAGTCTCCAAATTACTGAACTAAAGTAAAGTAACTTAAGTATAAATGTATAAAACGTAAATTAATTGTCACTTTTTCTTTTTTTTTTTTTTTAATGAAACCAGCCTCCTCACTTGTAATTAGCATATTGATGAAGCATTGATTTCATTAGATACCCTGAGTGACTCAATCCAGATAATTTATGCCAATTTGGATCCGTACACTCCTTCTCTTGTTTTAAACGTGATCACTGTCCAACTACATTCAGTTCAAATGCTCTAATGGTACACAACTTCGTCTCTTGGAGTTACTGAACTATTTTGACTTATTTCTGTACATATATTAGACAGTTGAAACCTAAACTGATAAAACTGTTGTCTCGTTAACATCTGCACACATTCGCTCATGACTTTCAACTTCCTTTTTCCTGATATATTTTTTTTTAAATTGTCAATCGCTATGGCAACGGACTGTCATGTCATTTTTCGTAATTCTGAAATCCACAGATGTACAACTTGACAACTTTGAGCGCCGCATTTTCACAATATGAACAAGAAAAGAGCCCGTTTCCTACTATGCCGTTAAAGGTGCACTGTGTAACTTTTCGAGTGGACGGTCCATCATTTATACTTGCCTCTATGGAGATGTATTTGCTTTGCCTAGAATGTTCAATGCAACGTATTATCTATCAGTACGATCTTCATGGAGACGAGCAGATGACACACAGTTTTCAAATTTTTTTTTGCAATATAATCACTTGTATTTGATAAATGCGAGATAGATAGGTTTAATGCCGTACTGTGAAACATTACATGCAAAGAAATACTATCTTAGTGAAGCCTCCTCATCTGGCAGACCCGCACCTGAAAGTTACACAGTGCACCTTTCAGTTTTTATGGCTATTCAATTAAATGATCATATTATGCATTACTCAACTCTGATTGCGTAGTGACCGTCGTTAAATATTTGACGTATGAATTATATTTTTAACTGACATGAATTGATTTTTACACCTGATGCCCTACCTGATGCAACACTCCGTTTGAATTTGCTTAGGGCTGGCAAAAAACTGGTTTAACATAAGAATTTTTTTTAGTGATTAGTTTGTTTGTTTGGTCATAATTTCTGGTGCTGTACCTGACTTTAACTTCCAAATCCAAGTCTAAATCCACTTTATACAGCACAACTTAAAGGTTCTATCTTACACTCTTTTCTGATCTATGTTATAATGTGGAAAACCACCATCAGAAAGTTACACAGTGCACCTTTACGTTTTTATATCTATTCAATTAAATGACCGTATTATGCATTGCTTAACGCTTAATTGCACAGAGCTGGTGAGGGAAATCCTTGGTTTATAACGATCGTCCCTTTGGCCCCTCCTCATGTCACCAAGTGTCCATGGAACCGCCAATCGACTCCAGTGATCACTCTGTTGCCCCGTTGGCCTCGCCCTCCTTTACAATCGTTCCCTAACAAATCTATTGTCTCTAATTGCTGCTCCGTGCCCCCTACACCCCTCCTTCGTCAACCCCCGTCGGGCCCCTCCTCGTCGTCCTCTTCATCGCTCAATGGGGATCGTTCGGCGTCCCTAGAAGCGAGGGACAGCTACCCAATTACGCGCGGCGAAAGTGGCGTTTTCGCTCGATACTGCTTGACGCGAATGCTGCCGTCAGACGCTTGAACATGCAAGGGTGACGCTGATAGGTTCTCTGCGCTAAAGATTGTATGGAAAATATCACACAAGAAAATACTATGGTGAAAAAGGCTAACTGGTATCTGTCCAATATTTGCGTTTATGAAATTCTCCTGTATGGATTGTCGCGATCCATGTACATGCGATGTACATATTTATTCTTTTACATTTATTTAAAGGTGCACTGCGCAATTTTTCTGAAACTTGTCTCCATGGAGATGTTACAGTATCTTCCATGGCAGGACGTTAACCATATCCATCTAACATTTATTCATTACGGGTGTTTCTATTGCTCAAAAATACACTAATTCCTTCTGTGAATAGGGGCGACTCTCCACAGATCTGAATTGTAATGTAGCGTAGTGCTGTAACTTGCTTGTCGTCTAGAAATATTACGCAGTTCACCTTTAAATTGTGATTAAAAAATTCAAAATTGAAAGCTAAAGCATCGTCGTCATCATCACAACTTAAATAAAAGCAAAACAAATGTGTATTATTTTGGCCATTATTTTTTATAAACTACAAAAATGATTACATTTTTTCATTTTATTCTATTTATAGTCATGAGCCTGCCTATTCAGACTCAACTCACAAACTGACCGACATATTTCCTTTTCTCTTCTTCTGTATAAATCACTTTTCAAAATGGTGCTCGCTGTCTATATAAAGATTAGATTAGTAAATGCTGTAAGTGACTTTTCAATTCCCTCTGAAATGACTGGCCTATAAGTTCTCATTACTCTGAGACATTTTTACAGTAAAAGGTTAGACCTCCACAGAACAAAACCTCAAAATGTAACAATGTAAAACCCCCAGTGTTGTTAAACTCCCTCCCACAAGAGGTGCCGTAATCAGGCATTTCGAACCAGCGTTTGGCCCTAAAGAGGCGCTTTTATTCAGAGGGCTCTTGTGATTTTAGCCTTGCAAAACCACTCGGCGTCTGGGAAATGCCACAGTTTTAGAATCCAGAAAAGGTCAGAGTCAAAAGCATGAACAAAGCTGACATATAATGATTATAGAGAGCTAGAGGTGCTCGCCGCGCCACTGTACCACACGACAAGCAGCCCTTGTGTCTGCATCAAAGCTAGAATTGTCACGTTTCATGCAAAATGTGTGTTTTTTTATTTTGAGTTATTTGTTTTTACTCATAATATCATTTTAAGTTGGACGCCCTACCTGATACTTCCTTATGCATTTATAGAGTTTTGCTGATACTCTGAGCCTTTTTAGCAGTCATCATTATGCAGTATTTGCTTTTTGAATGCATTTTGATTTGACATTGGAGTTTTACACCAAAAATGTGCAACAATGAACTTTTTCCCTCTTATTTATTTGTTACAGTACCGGTAATCTCACACATGTGGTAAATGTATTATCATTTTTAAGATTTTAAATTGGATGCCCTACCGTATTTATGCGAGTTCGGAACTAAATGTCCATACAAAGCCAGTTTTGAAGATATTTTTATTTAGCAGTCACCATTGCTAAATAGCAGACTTATGAATTACATTATGAATCAGATGCCCTTCCCATTTGTCTTTGCGTATAGGTCTGGCAACATAAGACGATTTTGGTGATTTTTTTATTTATTTTTTGGTCATAATTTTAAGTCCGATGCTGTACCTGTCTTTAACTTGTTTTTTTGTTTTTTTCTGATACCTGCCCCGTCGCTGTAGCCCTCTGCTGCCTCTGGTGGTGTGGTTGTCGTTTTGACACAGGAGCAGATGCGTGGAGTCTGATCCTAAACTCTGCTGTGTGGGGAAAGTGCTGACAGTGCTGAAGTGTTTAAGAAAACTTCTCTGAGTAGATAAAATCCTTCCTCCTCAGCAGCTTCCTCCATTTTAACAGACTTTGATGTAGTCCACAACACATCTGGACCTCAGTCTGCCATGTGTGGACGGGGAGTTTGCTATTGGATATAAATGCCTAATTAAATTCAATCTTGCAGAACTGTACCCGTGTAACTCCTTAGTTTAAATTACATAGATTGTGCACCTTCAAGTAATAATACGTGACTTCTTCTGGAAGGTCCACCATCTGCTTGTAATGTTTAACAATATGGCGTTAAACTTGGGGACAAACTGGTGTCTCCTCCATGCCAAGAAAACATTGAATAATTGCAAAAAAGATATGTTTAATGTCATACTGTGGAATATTCAGACTCCTTGGCATTCAGACAAAGCAATAACATCACCATGGAGACAAGTAGGTGTCGGACACTCCACTAGTTACATGTTACATCTTTAAAGGTTGTATGGAGGATTTTTTTTCAGTTTCAAATTGTCAATGAAAGTTTAAAATACCATTACAGAGACGCAGCAGCCTTGTAATTATGATGACCAAAAAAAAAAAAAAAAGAATGAAAATCTATCAACTGTGGACATAGTGAGGCCAGATAAACATCAGCCAATAGACAACCAGGCTACCTCATTTTCTATTGGCTGTTAGGTTGTCAATCAACCTCCCTACATTTCTAGAGTAATTGACTCGCGGCGTGCTGGGATTACGTGGTTTATGCAGCGGTTCTTAGAGGCTTTTTCAAACTGTAGCTTCCACGCAATTCGCACAAACTCTGTCGCGATTGCTGACGAGAATCCACGACTAGTTCGCCGCAAAAGAAAATCAGTTTTTGAGGTCGCTGAAAAGAAGAAGAGAAGGGGAAAAGGAGCAAAACCAAACTGAGGTGATTCTTGGAGATTCCTTCCAGAGATGAATCAGACGAAGGGTCTAAAGACTGAAGACGTGTCGGTCGCTAAATTATCTCTAGACAGGTCACTTCAACAGTAATTCTGAACACACACTGACTGTAAACAAACGTGATTTCTAGAGTAAAGAGGCGGGAGGAGATGTTTCTACTGATTGAGCTGTGGAGGAGGAAGGTGGTGTCACGCATGCACAAGGACTGTCGCTCTATTTCTCTTCCCTCAAAAAATCCTTTATACAACCTTTATTATATTTGCCCAAATTGTAAGCCAAATTACATTCAGTATGTATTCCTACAGTGTTGAATTAGTGAATGCTCAAAAATCAAAATCAAAAATGTTTTATAAGATATTACCGACTCGTCCTCCAAAAAACAAATTTCACAGTTTCGACCTGCTGAATAACCCACATTAAACCAGAGCACTGACTTCCCCGTCACACATTGCTCCCAGGGCACTGTGCTACATAGTTAATTTCCTCTTTTCCATAATCATGTCTAAACACAGAAGAAGACATGCTGTTCTCGCACTTTTGTCCACGCTCTCAACTGTTTCCTGTACCTGGATGTGTGATGTTAACTGGAATAGACTGGGAGCACTGTGAACCCAGCGTTGCGCGTTCATCTCTTGCCCAAGGGCACGTTGGCAGAAAGGTCAAAAGTCAAAAATCGGACAAGAGTTGACCCCGATGAGCATGATGAAAACGGGCTTGTGTGAAGTCAACGAAAATGGCAGTTATTTCAGTTGTTTCGCTCAAAGTACTCATGATAAAACTGAGATTAATTAAAGTGTCTAATGAACCAGTTGTATGTTTTAAAGGTGCATAGTGTAACTTTTCTGGTCAAATGCTTTTCTCCAAGGACATGTTATTACATTGTCTGAAATGTTTCACAGTATGGCATTAAACATTTCATCACGGAGACCAAACCAGACCAAGTTACAGGTCAGATCTGTGGAGAGGCGACCCCGCTCACAGTCACAATGCCAGTTTTTCTAGGTATTTTTGAGCTAAAATAATGTCTGTAATTAAATAAATGTAGTAGAGCTGTTTAATGTCATACTGTGGAACATCTCCATAGAAACAAGCAAGTGACGGACCCCCAACCAAAAAAATTACATAGTGCAGCTTTAACTATGCAAGAGTTCTGGCTGTGAACAGAAAATCATCGAAAAAACTAAAATACAAAATTAAAAAACAAACAAACACGTGGCTCTGTTTGAGATTCGATATTCTGTAAAAATTTGAATAAATAATTAACAATATACTTTTTTTTTTCGATAATTTTCTTTGGTATAATTTTGTTTAACATCTTAAACCTGTACAACTCACAACATTTTGAATTTAGACAAGCCTTGCACTCTGGACAAACACGTTCTGATTATGATTAAGTAACTCTTTTCATCAAACCTGACCAGTGCCGGTTAGTGCGCCCCCTGTGGTCTGGCCCCTGCTCTGAAACACTTTACATAAGCACAAACAGTCTCTGACCCTTGACCCCAGACTGAGAGCAGAGTAGAGAAAAGCGGGCCTCCGGAGCCATTAGGCAAATCAGACCAAATGTGTGGTTTTGTGCACTTTTTAATCAAATCCTTTCACGACTCGAAGCTCAGGAGGGGGCAAGCAATGATTATTTTTTATTATTTTGATGAAAGGTATTTGCAGCAAGTAACGTGCACTGTAACATTTAAAGGTGCTCTGTGTAACTTTATGTTTGGGGGTCCGTCACTTGTTTTTTTTTTTCTACGGAGAAGTCATTCTTTTGCTTAAAATGTTCCACAGCGTGACATTAAACAGCTCTACCTTACATTTATGAAGTTATAATTGGTTTTATAGCGCACAAAAAATATATTCGGAAAAACTGGCATTCTGACTCTGAGCTTGGTTGCCTCTCCACAGATCTGACCTGTAACTTTGGTCTCTATGAAGATAAAACAGTTTAATGCCATACTGTGAAACATTCCAGACAAATCAATAACATCCCCATGGAGAAAAGTTACACAATGCACCTTTAAACTACAAAATTATATCGGGGTGGTTGTGATCACTGGAATGGCGTTGCAAAATATAACTTGGGCTGCTTACGTAAACCAAAAAAGATGAAATTGTAGACCTTTTTTGTAAATTTTCTTTTTTTATTTGGGTTTTATAATCTGTTATCATACAATAGTCACCATATATTGTCACTGGAATGGAATTGCAAAATATAACTTCACAAAATTGTTATATATTCAAACCAGTTTTAGCACTAACTTCTCATTTTCTTCCCCATTGGAGCATATAAATTACCTTTTTTTTTTTTAATGCCAGATGCCCTTCCTAACTTAACCCTCTGTATTTATTTACGTTTTGGACAGAACTAAGAGCGCACTAGTTTAGGACCCTTGGGGCTGGATTGTACACTACAACTTTTCCCTGCAACTACTTACAAAATGTTCTTTCTATATGCACTATACTGTACTTTTTACTTTACTTAGTAATTTCTGAAGTATTTTGCGCAGCTGGACGTTTGGTTCCTTAAAATAAATATAGTTTTTTTTGACATGTACCATGATCTGAAGCCTCAAAACTATGACACTGGCCTTTTTCCTATATGAGTTCCCTCTCTCTCACAGTGAATGTATAGGAAACTTAAGCATACTCTTTGTCCAACACTGGCAGCATTAATATGTATTTAAATATAGCTTGAATTAATTTAAAAATGAGGCCATGTAAATCCAGGTATTCTTTCTATTTCTTTGTATAGCGGCATTATGTAAACCAGGAAGTAGTTTGATAATGTGTATAATTCAGCATTTCTTTTGTAAATATTGAGTAAGTATTGTGAATGATATCTGTCGAATGGTTTTCAAACTGATCTTGTGTATGACAGGCGGGCGCAACTCTTTGGGCTTTTAAAATGTGACTCCAGATCTGAGCAGATTTTTTATGTGAAGAGGAACAAGCATTACAACACAGGCTGATGAAACCATGTGTAAAACTTGAGCTGTAATTACGGATGTACAGAAAAGAATGACATTTTTGTCTATTATTAAATGTTAAAATCCATATCTTTGCTCTCATGTGTTTTCTCATAAAGACTATATATTACGCTATATGGATTCTTGTGAGCTTTAAGTCGTGTTATAATGTTGTTACCTCATCAAAAACATACCTGGAGTTGTGTTTTATTTCATTCATGTTTGAGTAATCCTGCATTAGTCTGTCTGCATCTCCAAAGCTCAAAAAGCGTGTCATGAAGCGATAATTTTCAAGTTAACAGCTCCTTTTTATACTTTGCTTAGTTGAGATTGTCAATTCCAGGGCTGAAATTATCCAAATTATTCTAGAGAAGGTGTGTGGAATTTATATACACAGTGGCGCACTTCCTGTACTACCATATGACATCACAAGGTGGAATAGTGTTTGCCATTTGAGAGAAGAACCTAATTTTGCAGTGTTTGTGTGTTAAACGTGTGTGAATGAAACAAAACACAACTCCAGGTATATGTTTGATGAGGAAACAGCATTATAATAGATCAGAAAATAGTGTAATATGGACCCTTTAATAGGGATGTAACGATATCCAATTCTCTCGATACGATATTTTCACGATGTGCATCTCATGGTACCATATTTATTGTGATATTTTATGTAGGTTAACAAAACTGTGAATATGCTGCTTTTCTCTCGTCATAATCCAAACAGTTAAGATTTAAAAGTGCTTAATAATTCTTATTTCAACATGTAGATTGGATTGAAGCAGTGCAAAGGATCATGGTCTATGTAGTTCCCTCAGTTTTTTAGGTATTGCTGCACCAAAACAATGAATTTAAGCAAATAATCTTGTGATTCGAAATATGTTGATGGTCCGTGATATTTTTGTGAGACTTCTAACGATACAATATCCCAAAATTTCGGTTATTGTTACATTCCTGCCCTTTAATATTGCTGTAATTACTGGGTCTATTCAGACGAAACAAAAACTGGTTTAAAGTTCGATGTGTTACAGTTTACTTTTTTACTGCACTGGCCTCCCTCAGAAATGATGACATCAAGAGCAACATGAGCAGAACCTATTCTTTGATTCTTTGATTTCAGTTTCCTATTGTAGGTGTCATTTTGAGGACTTTTGCCATTCAAATTACATAACATTCGGTTTTAAAATCACCAATAAGCTCTAGGGGTGTTTGCATGTTCTGTTAGACTATTACTTGTGCGTGTTGGGTGAACTGCAGGCAGATGGTTTCCCTCTACAGTGATTAAGAGCTGCTTCTGGCCTATGCGTTTTAACCCTGGCTCATGTCCTAATGACCTATACACAATTATAAAAGAAAATACACAGTGAAATCAGTCATTGCAGCTGGACTGGCTCTTTGGTGATTTTTGGCATCAAATTGTATCACAAGACTTGATAAAGTGACTATGGAGGTTTTGAATCCGTGTATCATTCGTTCATTTGTTTTTCAAAATAAAACCAAAAATAAGAAACTGAAAAAACAACAATTTCCTTCTTTATTTGTCTCCGAAACCAAAATGAAAAAAACAGACAACGATTTGTTTTTAGAGTTTTCGATTTTTTATTTAAATGAATAATAATGGAAACAATGGATAAAATGGATAATGACCGTTTCCCGTTTCCATGACATAAACTGCGATGCCGGACTGAACCGGACTGAACCAGGACTGAACCAGGACTGAACCAGGACTGAACCAGGACTGAACCAGGACTGAGGCCGGGACTGAGCCAGGACTAAACCAGGTTTAAACCAGGACTGGGACCAGACCAGAACCAGGACCAGGACTGAGTCTACGACTGAGACCAGGATTGAGACCGGGAACAGGATCAGAACTGAGACCGGGACTCAGACTGGGACCAGACCAGGAATGAGACTAGTTTAGTCCTGGTTTAGTCCTGGTTTAGTCCTGGTTCACTCCTGGTTCAGTCCTGGTTCAGTCCTGGTTCAGTCCAGCATCACAGTTTAAGTCATGTAAATGGGAAACAGCCATTACCCTTTTTTTCCCATCATTTAAACACAAAATCGAAAACTAAAGAAATTAATCATTATCTGTTTTTTCATTTTGGTTTTGGAGCCAAATAATGAGGAAAATATTTATTTTTTCGTTTTCTTATTTTTGGTTTTATATTGAAAAACAAATGAACGAATGACACATGGATTATTTTGTACCACAAGTATGGAGTGTACGAAGAAGTGGACAACGGCAGTGTGACGTCAAATGAAGCTCATGAGGTTAGCAGTTGTAGGGCAAATTTGGAGCAAAGAGATAAAATAGTGAAATAAAAACACCACGATTATGTAGAGCAGGTTAATACAAATACTTTAAGACCAAAATGACGAGGCTCACTGCAGCAGTTACAGAGAGAAGGCCGACAATTTTTCAAGGGAAAGTCAATCTGAACCAGAGTCAATGGAGCCGGAAACGCCCCCATGAACACTTCCTATTTAGAACATAGTGGCTGGCATTTTAGCTATGTATGACGGAGTATAAGGGTCAGATAAAAACAAACAAACATGCTGGCGCTACGAGAATAAAGTCGTAACATTTTGACATTTAAAGTCGTAATATTATGAGAATAAAGTCGAAGCCAGAAAAAGTCGTAATTTTACGAGAATAAAGTCGTAATTTTACGAGAATAAAGTCGTAAACTTACAAGAATAAAGTAGTAATTTTATGAGAATAAAGTCGTAGTCAAAATAAAGTCATAATATTACGAGAATATCGGCTGCTCGGAAAGTATGAAGGAGTGGAGAATGGAGAATTTGGAGCATTTTCTAAAGGAGAAAAATCCGTGTATCATTCGTTCATTCGACTGAACAAGGACTGAATCAGGACTAA